GCCTTCAGAGTGTTAATTGGAGTTCGGAGCTAGATTTTCCTCTATGGTGCCTCTGTGCTTCACCTTGGTTCCTCTGTCACAGACCTCTCTCTCACAGGCAGGGAACAAAGCTGAATGATTGGGAGCACAGAAAGCACTTGTGAGCAGTGCTTGGTCTTGGAGAGAAGCCAGCAGCAGCAGGATGGTGACACATAGGTAGATTGTTGAAGTTCTTGGTAGGTGATGCTGATAGGAGGTCATCCACATGGTTTTGAATGAATAAAGCAGATGCCAGGATACTGGGGAGTTGTGGTTTTAACAGGACCATAGTTCTTGTTCTGTGTGGGGTGATTGCATCATTTGGGAACAGTATTTGGGCTAAGGTTGGACAGGGCTTGGAGCGACCTGGTCTAGCAGAAAGTGTTGCTGTCTGTGTCAGGGGGTGGAACTGGAGGAGCTTTAAAGTCCTTTCTGAAACAAACCAGCCTAGGATTTGATGATTCTAATTTATAAGTTTTCCACCAAAGTCAATAAATAAAATAAATAAACTAAAATGTATGTTCTTGGTGGAAGACCAGAAGAGAAGTGATACTCTCTCCAATCCATGTCTTGGAAGATTTAGGTAGTGCATCAATTTCTTCTAAAGCAGTACTACTGTATGTCTAAATTCAGTGCTGCTTTAAAGCAGCTGTAGAGGTCCCAGAGGAGCCCAGGATCTTTGTTACCCACCTGACAACACAGATTAAAATGGAATGTGGTCTGACTCAGTAGAATTTATTTCCTAGAGGTTGTGGACTTTCCATCCCTGGAAATGTCCAAGGCCAGGTTGGACTGGGCTTGGAGCACCATGGGATAGTGGAAGGTGTCCCTGCCCGTGGCAGAGAATGGGACTGGATGAGCTTCAAGGTGCCTCCCAACCCAAACCATTCTGTTATTCTAATTTTTGTCTTTTGATTTACTAAGTTGTTATCTAATGATTACTGATTTATTTATGATTATAAATCATACAACTCTGTAGTCATTTAATTAAAAAATTTTAATTGAAATGATCTGGCATAATTTGCTTTTGGAAGGAATCCATTGATGTATCAGTTTTTCATTGAAATGTAGACACCAAACACGTGTTAAATACACACATTTGTTATGCTAGTATTGGGGAATCTTGCTTTTTGGAGCTCCTCATTCTATGAAGAATTCATTATTTAACACAATCTCGGATAGATATGACATGATCTGTATTTTCTTCAGAGAGTACATGTTTATGTATAAGGTTTGTTGCCAGAAATCAGTTTTAGCTTGGGTGTTTTTGGGTGTTTTGGGTGTTGCCAGAAATCAGTTTTAACATGGGAGAACCTGGGCCTGCTCCATCCGGTCCAAGGATGTCACTGCATACGAGGTATGGGACCAGGAGGATCTACCAGGCATGGGGTATACCAGGAGGACAGCTGCCTGGGATAAGGGGAGAACCCAAATGCAGGAGAGAAATGATTGCCAGGAGTTCTGGACTTCAGTCTGTCTCAGATTCTTTCCATGTGAAAGATGTGTATTTCTCGAGATGTCTTTTGAGAGACAGACGTGCAGTATATGCTGATTTATCTACCTGATATGGGAATGTATCTCCCTTTGGAAAGGGGAGAGAGAGTATAAGATGAAAAAATTGAGAATAACTAATGTATCCCCAGAATAGAAAATCCAAAAGAAGAGAAAAAAACGACCTCTGCATGTTTTGGTACATTGCTTTATGATGTCCATTTACATAGAGCGTGAGCTCTATCTGTAGATTTTTTATTTGTTTTGCAAGACACTTGAGAAGGAAAAAAATGCCACAGAAGCTCAAAACAACATGCAGTTATTCTAGCTTTCTGAAAGAAGTAGCTAAATAATTTTGACATGTAATTGATACATGAGTTCATTATTTCTAGTTTCCTCCTTATCTGCAAGCAAACAGTTTTCAGGGGAAGTTGAAGATCAGCATAAATTCCATATAAAGTCATTCTATATGACCGATAGCTTTGAATAAAACAAAAAAAAATCAAAACCAAGACCCCCTATTATATAGTCTCTCAATATAAATAAACAATGTGTTCTTTGAAGTTGAAAGAGGTTCCTGGTAGTTCTTGTGATCCTTTAGAAATGCCTGAGTTTCAGAAAACCATACATTTGACCCTTGGTGGAGAAAATAATTTTGCTCTGAAGCTTTATCATTGTGCTGATAAATTAAGGGTAACTGGACCTGAGGGGTTACCCCAGATATCAGAACCTGTTTGTGTTTATGTCAGAGCAGATTTAATTTGAACAGATTCTACAGGTTTGAGTGGAGTGTTTCTACAGTTAAATGTGCCCTGTCTGGGTTTTGAACTTAGAGAAAATGAGAATAACTCTCTAAGTGGGACTGCTAGAATTTACCTTTCTGGTTTTTTTCTGTCTGAGTTATATAAGGATATTGAAAGCAGATTTTTTTTCCTTAATACAGTACAGTAATCTCTTAGTTTATTTTTTTATGCTGATTCTTGTCAAAACAGAAAATTATTTTGTAATGTTTCCTCAAATTTGCTATTCCACTTGTGTGGGTTATAATGAAAATAAATTAATGAATGATTGAAATGGAGAAAAAGTATACTAGACCCCAAAATTTGTTTCCTCTCCGAATAGTGACCCAGTGCGTGCTGTAGTGTGTCATGAAGTTGTTACCCTTTTCATTCATCACCTTGGGGTAGGAGACATTGTTCTTGTATTCTCAGCCGATGTCATAATGATAAGTTTCTGAATGTTTTTCTTATAATATCAAAAAAGTGTTTTCCCAAACTGTTGCTTTTATTTTGATAGAAAAACATTTCTCAATTTTTTTTTTTTTTTTTTTTTTTGCTGGTGGCTGAGCCTTTGATAATTTGATGTTATGTATGTATTTAAGTCTTCTTTGCTTTGCTTGGGATGCGTGTGGGTGGCGGATTGCACAGCTCCTCTGGTTTGGAGAGGGAGCGGGCACTGTTCCTAGTGCAGCCTTGCTTCTGGCTCGGATGAATTTGCAATGGAACCAGATCAGAGTGTAACCTCTGGCCTGATCTAATTATCAGCATTTACACTGGCGAACTTCCTCAGGAGTGGGCAAAAAGTCAGGTAACTTGCAGAGAGTAAAAGTAATTCAAAAGGACATCATGATTTTCAGGAAAATGTTACTTAGGCAGTGTGTCCTTTCCCAACCCATAACTTCAATTGTTTGGGGTTCAAATACTCAAATGAAGTGAGAGAAAATAAAAAACAGTGAATGTGCACAACCTTCATTTTTAAAAACATTTTTGTATGAGAGGTGGTGCAGTTCTGTGGATTGTGATCCAGGAAATTGTGATTCCAGTTTGCAGTTGGCTTTGAGTAAATAACTGCACTCTGGAGAAACTCTGGCCTGGAGTTGCTGCAGAAGAGCTTAACTTAAGCTGTCTGTACATTGTGATGCGTGAAATTCTTGTTTTCACACTTGACAGTAATGCGTGTTGTTTGCAGCGTATCTGGCAGCACACTTGAGAATATTAAGCTATTTGGTTGTGTTAAAAACTAGACTGATTTCTTCTAAATAAAATGCTGTATATTTTAGTGAGGACGACACCAGCTCTGATCCTGAGAGTAGTGAAAACCTAGTCCTTTCTGGGGTTAATTTGTTTTGTTTTGGGAGATTGCACTGTAGTTTTCAAGTCATTGTTTTGTTTGAAAGTGCACTTAGTTTTATGCTTATACCTGTTCTAACTGTTGAGAATAAAATTTTTGGAAGGTGACATTGTAACAAAGCAAAATTTAGCACCACTGATTAAACAACATAGATGCTCATTTGTTCTTTGATGTTTTGATTTTTAAAAATCTTAAATAGAGATACTATTGAATATTTGCATTTGACAATATTAAACAGATTTTGAATTTCCAGTAGGTCCCAGGTCAGAAAACCTTGATAACTGTTGCAGGGAAACCATTGTAACTTAGCAATACTGGATTGTGAAGCATACTGTGGAAATTAAATAGTGACAGTGGGAGAAGCATTAGAAGGACTTGTGGTAACAATACAAAACTTGATAACAATATTTCTAATGAGCTGCAGTGTGGTGCTGTTGCACCAAATGAAGTACCTCATTTTGGAGGATGTAAAAATGGTCTTTGATTGAAAGTAAGAATGATACTGGTTTATGTCCAAGTTAATTCATTGTGTTTTAAAAGCTTTCTTGCAGTCTGCAAATTGTTACTGATTTAGGAGGCAAATGCCGTTTTTCTCTCCCTTTTAAAAACCAGATTTGTAACAAAGTCATTATAGGCAGAGGTGAGAACAGAAAGCACAAGATACTTTTAATAGCGTGCCTGTCGTCTGTTCTGCTGCACAGCCTTTCCTAATCAGCCTGAGCTAAATGAACTGTGCTGAACTGTCTGGTATCTGTATTTAAACATTGCAGCTCATTCTTTGTGATTATCTTGAATACCTTGTAATGCCTTGAAACTTTCTACGTCCCTGTTACCTCAAATATACCGTTTAAAACTGAGCAATGTATCTGGTATCCTGATACCCTGAGCATTTTGTACACTTGAGCTGGCATTTGTATATTACATTCTTCTCATAGGGATCCAGTTTGCTTGGCAGATGGAGCTGTGTTGGGCTAGCTGGACATTCACTCCCTCACTTAGGGATGATGGCTTTGTGACAATTTTGTTTAATAGTACAAAGGACACAATTCTGAGAGATACTTAGTATTTTGAGGAAGAAGTATAGTCAGTCTATCAATCGCAACTTGAATGCCATGAGCAATGCCTCTTTTTACATTGTTTTGTCCTTTGGTGCCTGAAAAAATTGCTTATTTTTAAGAAAAACATCCATTTTTGGTATGAAATGATTCTGAGTTTCTTGAATTTGTTGTTTACATGTTCCCAGTTGAATCTCTCTGTGCTACACAGTGTATAACTTCAGGTGAAGCTACCAAGTATTCTTGGAAATCAGCCTGTAAACAACCCAGTAGATTAATCTCTGTAATTTTCCCTTTATTCTGCAGAGATATTACATACAGCATTTCTTTGGAAGCCGTGACTACTCTCATTGTGTTCCTCTCCTGCCAATTATTCCACAAAGAGATTGTGCGAGAGAGCATCATTCACAGATACCTGATGCATGGTCGATGGTAGGTCCTGCTCTGGGGTGCTGCCTAAGGGCAAAGAAAATGCTGCTGGTGGCTTCTTAGGTTGTTTGTACCTGAAAACAGAAGGCAGCAAAATGTTATCTTGATAGAAAATTTGTTCTGCTCAAAAGAAAAGAGATCACAAAAGCAAACATCTGTAAAGGCTCTTGGAGGGATTTGGGTGGAAATCTCACAGCCCAGACTTAAGTAAAACTAATTTGGAAATAGTTTTTATATTTTGAGGGTAGTTTCATTAACTTAAAACATATTTAGTTTTCAGGATGGTTTTTTGATTCAGCAATGAATCTTGTAGCACTGCAGCCCAGAGAACTCAGGTCCCTCAGAAATGCTAGGGCTTTCTTGCCATCCAGATAAGCACAGTCCTTGGAAAGATGAAGACACATGCTGGGCTGAGCTGAAGGGAACACTTAGCTGGAGATAGACTTGGTTGTGTGAGTAATACCACTTGTTCTGGCAAGTTGGTGGTTGTGTTCAAGTGCTTTCACAACGTCTTACATGCATTTTAGTCAGGCTCCCATTCATTCTCTTTCAATTTCAAGTTCCCTGTGGGCAGATTTCTCATAAATGTATTTATTCTCTGCTTTCCTGAAATTTCTACTAGGTGCAAGAGACAGATACTACTGTGACATGCAGGGAAAGGAGTGAGGCTCAGCTTGGAGCACTGGGCAGAAACATCAGCAGGATAGAGCCAGAGCCTCAGGATGTGTGGGGTCTCCTGGTACTTCAGTCTCTGGATGGAAGGAATCAAGGGTTTGGGGGAAAATGGGGAGTGTTTGGGGGAAGATTTCGTATGTGGTCTAAGAGGTCTGATTTGGGAGTAGGAGGAGCCTGACCTCTGGAGAGAGATGTAGGAATTTGGTGGCTGGGAATCAAGAGCAATGTGAACAGGTGGAGTGGTACTGGTGTGACATCCCACCCCTAAGGAGAGGGAAGTCCCCAGGGTTTGTAGATGATCATGATCAAAAGGAATGACAAAAGTCAGAGGATCTGCCAAGTTTTATTAGTAAATTACACACTTGGCATGGAAAACAGTGTTTGTCCCTGATATCCCATGTAAGCACTGTGGGGTTTGGATAAAGGTGGGGGGGTGCTGTAAAGGGAGAAGGAGAGGGACAGAGAGAGAGAGAGAGAAATTGGATCAAAGAAGGGGACAGAGAGAGGAAGAAAAAAAGAGAGAGATCACCAGTCCTGACTCCAGTGTGGATCCAGCTGATGGGACGTCCTGGGGCCCTGGGCTTTGTGGGGCACATTTAAATCTTCCACTCTCTGGGGAGAAGTTTCCCACCTTTTGTGCAAGTCAGTTCTCATTCACAGTGGTTCTTTCAGGCCTTTCTGGAAATGGGTTGGAGGCTTTGGGGTCTTGGATGGGCTCAGAGTTCCCCCCTGCAGTGCTCAGCCCTTCTGGCCCTGTCCCTGTCCCTGTGCCAGGCCAGGCTGTGCTTCCCTGCAGGAGCCACAACCAGGAGGTTTGTCCCTAAAACACCGCCCTGCTCCCACATGGCCCCTTCTCCAGCTACATCCTGGTCTTCCTCAGGTGTGTTTCTACCAAGTCCTTGTTTGTTATTCCTAAAAACCCTTGGCTGGCTCCACACCATGCAGCTGTTGGTGTTTGGGACATGCACATTAGCTCCTCACCTTCTCAGATTCTACAGGTGGTCGGAGGGTCCATCCTCACAGAGCTCCTTCTTTTCAGCTCTGAATCAGATGGGAATTGGAGCCAGCTGCTTGCTTTTGTGGAAATGCTACTCCATTTTGGAAATACCGTAACCTTCTTGTTAAACCCAACAAATTCTACTGGCATTTTTCAGATCCATTGGTGTGAGGTTGGTTGTTTCATTGGTCTTTGCAAATTCCTAGAGTTATAGAATCCTTGAGAATCCTTGAGGTATGAAAGGGTGTTTAAGACTGGTTCTGAGCTGCACACACAGGCAAAAACATGGTGGGTGTGGAGAGATGCTGTTGGTACCCTGTTCTGTCTTACTAGAGCATGGAGTGAAAACTGAAAAAATACAGCATTCCTTTCCATTGCTTTTCCATTTGTGTCTTGAGGTAAGTGAATACAATGATTCTACAAACTAAATGGTTTATTTATAAGTAGTATTTAAAAAACAAAAACCAAAAGACAGTTTTCATGATCCTGCTGTGGAAAATGCTCCTTCAGACCTTTGCTGAAGTCCAGGCAGCTTTGCATGGGGAAGACCTTTGTGTTCTTTTCCTTTCCAGTCTGGTCAGCACTGGGAGAGTTACTGACCATCTCTAATGCCAAACACTAGCATTTGCACCCTATCTGGACTTTGTTGTGCCAATTTTTGTGAGTTGTGAGTCAACCAAATTTATTTTTTTTCCTTTCCAGTCTCCCATACACCAGCAGACTTGTGAAAACTTTGCTGTATAATTTCATTAGACAAGAGAGAAGCCCTCCTCCAGGGACCCATGTCTTTCAGCAGCAAACAGATGGAGGAGGACTGCTCTATGGAATTGCATCTGGGGTGGCAAGTAAGTCTGATTTTCTATAAATTGTACTTCAGACCATATGAAGAATTGCCTTCTGTGTGCCCTCTCTTGCAGACGCACCTGTAGCCCATTTCTTTTTCAGCAAGTGATACCAGTGTAGAAAAGCTGTCCACAGGCCTGCATGGCCCATCTTGAGATGTGTTAGAATTGAGGCAATTATACCTGCAGGACAGCAGATGGTAAAAGTATCACCTAGCCCCTGGTTTTTTTACTGACACATTAAAAAAAGCCTCAACCAACCAAGTAGTGCCCTATTTGATGAATCACATACTTCAAGTTACTTAAAGTGTTGCAAGAAATAGTTTTATGTGCACATTTTATTCTTTACAATTACTCTGTGCATCTGGTGACCTGCTCTGTGGCTCTGCTTGAGCAAAAGGTTGGGTTAGGTGGTCCCAAGGGGTCCCTCCTAGGAGGGTTCTTTGATGTGAGGGAGCAACCTAGATAGGAATTTTTGTAACATATTGTGCCTTTCCCAGTAAGTTGACTAATGTTTTTTCCTGATAAGTATGACTAGATTCTGACCTTTCCCAGACTGTTTGCTGTAGAGAAATACTGCCCGAAGAATAGCAAAGACTTGATGCCATTTGTTGTTCAGAAGAAGGTTTCTCATTTTTGTTATACTGTACACTTTGTTTTGGTTGGTGGCTGCTCCCTTCCCCACACCAGATGTGTTTTACTGGTTCATAAAAATCTGTCCTAGAGGTTTTTTCTTTTCCACTGAATGAGAATAAAACATAATACAGTGCTAACAGCAAAGGTAGATATTATTTTCTTTCTCCCCGATAAACTAGAGAACACTTTGCAAGTCAGTTGCTGTTAAAACCGATACTATTTATTTAGCTCTTTTGTGAAATCAATTCACTGGCAGCCTCCTGAGGGAATATTAAAGTTCAGGCCGCAAAGGGTCTGCCAGAACTTGCATTCGGAGGCAGTGCCCGGGAGCCTCCTCAGGGCGGCAGTAAAAGCGCACGGCTGCTGCGCTCAGCTCCGTCCGCGCTCCGGGCTAACCCTCCGGGGCTGCGCCTGGCTTGTGTCTCTAACCTAAACCCTGCACAAAGTAGTGGCTTGCTTTGCGATTCACTTACACGCACGCCAGATTAATTAAATTGTTCCTTGCAGTGCTTTATTCGAGAGTCCCATCAGGTATATTCTTTTCCTTCGTTTCAATTGCAAGGAGAAATTGCTCTTAACATGTTTTTCTGAAGCAGTTTTCAGTATCTGGATTGTAGTTTTTCAGTTTTTGCTGCATATTTTGGTACATAGTATTACCTGAGTAATTTCTGTTATTTATGTTATTATTAGTATGATCTCTCTAGTGTCTTTCTGTGTCAGTGCTGCCACAGGCAAAACACTTCTTCCCCTGTTCTGGTTACTTGACTGATTTGTAAATCCATCCATATTGCCACCCCTCGAGCCTCCCTCTGTAACACTTCTTACATGATATCCCCTGTGACTTTTTACCCATTGTATATTAAGTTTCCATTTCTTAATGCAAACTCTTAAGATTTCAGCCTACATCTGTTCTTGTCTTTTCCTACACTCCCACCTCCTTCACTCCTCTTGAACCATTCCCTTAGCAACTACCTTGGCGTACGCCTACGCTTGTTTTCTTGCTTCTTTCATGAGTACCTGAAGTGCCATGTCTTAGCCCGGCAAATTAAGTGTCTTCATTAAAAGCTTTAAGAAGAGGAACATTTTTAAAGAGCTTTTGAATTTCCTGCCTGGGAAAAGGGAAAAAAGGAGTACCACATCCTGTTAAAAAACAGAAATGTTTTTTCGATCCATGCCCAGACAGTTGCTTGAGATTTTTTAAAAATTATTTGCCTATATATGATGTTGGACTATAGGTGAAATGTAGGCACAGTAGGGTTGTAGAGTAAATGGCATATTTGCCTGTCTTATCTCTGAATTAACTCTTATCAAATCAATACTTTGGTTCATGTAGCCTCAGGTACATGGGTAGAGCACAGCACAAATGAAGATGCAGCAACATGAGGTGACAGTCTGTTAGGGAACAAAAGGGAATTTTGAGCAACGAACAGCTGTGGAAAACTTTGATGTGATTTCTGTACTGTATTACTTTTTTGTGTTTTGTAAGCTTTACATGATAGAAATTGGAAGAATGGAAGAATTGAAAAACTCACGTCTGTGTTGCTCAGTGCCTTTTAAATACCACATAATGCTTAAAGTAAGTTTACTGAAATAGTCTAAATACAATCTACTTAGGATGAAAGGAGATAGGAGTGTGGTTTAAAAAAAAGGTATTTTTAATATGACATTTTGAGGCTTAAAATAATTATTGTACTTGTTAATTATTTTACTTGATACCACAGTCATCTAAATTATCCTGTATAATGTTACTCCTATTTTGTAGTCACTTGCACTGCAGCAGGAGATCAACAAACTCTTACAAGCACCGTATTTTAGATCCACCCTCCTTTTCCTTCCTTGTGATTCAGCAGGAGTGATAATTATACATGATATGAGCAGAATTTTACCCTTTCCCACAGTTAACCTTCTCCTGCTTCTCATCCTTCGTAGCCTGTTTTTCTTCCTCTCATGAGCTTCCTTAACTCTGAAACCATACAACCAACATCCTCACACCAATTACTTCTGGGTTTGGCCTCTGACTGGATCCAGGTTACCTCTGTGCAAGGACCTTTTTCTATCCTGGATATAAAATACCTGGATTGAATTGTCCTGCCAATTCTGTTATGCTCCAATAATTAAAGAAACAATGGTGGTTTTGGAAGGAGGGGAAAAATAATGGTATTTATTTTTGTGACTTCATAAAGGAGATTTTTCTCTACTGAGTCAACTTTGCTTTGTCTTTGTGGTCTTTCAGTAGGTGTGCCCAGTAATTGTAAAGTGCTGCTAGATCTGGGGCAGTGTTGTGAAGCATAAATGACATTAATATGCATGGCAGTAGAATTTAGATATTAGAAACTTATTTATTGGAAACCAGAAATTAATTATTCTTGGTTCACAAAGCGCATTGAACCAACTTACCCTCAAACCCAAGTTTTTTTTGTTGGCTCTAAGTTCCCTCTTCTTTTTTGTTGAGATTTATTAACATTTGCCAATTCATAGTCTACAGTCAACTAAGTTGAGACAACTTTTTGTGGACAAGCAATATTTTTTTAAATTAGTCATTTTATTGCTTGCAAAATAGAATCCTTGTTAGAGTGAGGAACTGCCAAGCAGATGATGTGCTAAGGCAGGGAAATGATAGTGCTACTCAAGACTGTTGAAAAATAAGTCAATTTAGATGGTTTCCTTTTAAATAGTTGATCCAGTTTATACTTTGCTATTAAAAACAACTCCAGACACTAATGCATCTGGCAGAAGTTAGGAGTTACTGCAACAGTGGGATCTAATTGACTTGGTTTGTGCTGTTAGGGTGTTTATAGATGTGAGGGGTACAATGCTGTATCTGTAAGGAACTCACGCAGAGTCACTAACCGGATTCAGCTTCATTAATCACCCAAGTCATCATCATAACTAATCTGCCACACAAATGCACTGTTGTAGCATTAATAGAAATTGTAGAATTCAGTGTGTAGTGGTCAGTCATGGCTTGTTTTCTCGTGTCTGTATACTTTTTGGTTGGAACTAGAGAAATATTCCTGGCCATTAATGACGTTATATCAGGCAAGTATATGCTTTACTCAGCATTAGGATACCTGAAGGTATCAGACCTCTGTTGTACATCTGTGATTTATATACACTATAGCTTATTCTCTTGGGGTTGTTTTTTTTGGTGCTACTTTCTGGTTAATAGAAGCATTTAAATGGTAGTTTTTAACTTTACAAGAAAATTGTTTATTAATATTTAGTGTTTTATGTTACTGTCTTTTTCCTCTTCAATTTTGTGTAGCCTAATTTGAAATATCTACATTAAAATATATCAAAGTAGAGAGACAAAAAGATACTAACAATGTGTCTGTTATTTCTTATTCTTATGATTTCACCAACCTTTACTTCTGCTAGCAAATGCTTCACTCTGCTTGCTTCTACCTTCCAGATCCTTTTTGTGATATGTCACAGATCTGGTGTCTATCTCTGGTGCTTAGTCAATGCTTAATTGCCTGTTCATGCCCACCACAGTGGAAATGTACATTCGAGCTTTCTTTTCCAGTTCTGTCTGTTCGTGTTCCTTCTTGCTTACAGTCTGTAAGTGTCATCCTCTTGATGCTGTAACTATGATATTTTCCCCTGTCTGAATAGGAAGACTGAGGAAGTTTCCAGATCTTTAATCTTTCACTTGGTGCCTGACACAGAGCAAAGTCTGTGACTGCAGTTCAAGCACAGGTACCTTGAGAATAAATAGTTGAGTGCTCTGGTTGTGTGGCAGGGGCAGTCGGCAAGAGCTGCAGAGCAAACTGGTGCCAGAGCAGCTTCATCCTGCCCAAAATCTGTGCTTGGGTGCTACAAGGACCACAGAAGCTGGTTTGAAATTGGGTTGCTGCTGCCTGACCAGTGCCTCAGTGTAGCCTTTGAGAGTTTTCAAGTTTTTATGACAAAAACTCACCTTCTGCCTTGATCGCATTGGTACAGAAATACATTGTGTCTGATAGGTATCTCAGGAGACCAGATATGTACTCACTATCAAGCTCTTAGGCACTTCCTTTGATGTACACTGTGCCATGTATGTTCTGTATCTTGAAATGTAATTTATCTTTGTGTATTTGCATGGTGTGAGAGTATAGAATGATTATACAGCAATAGCTCTTCTGGTGGCATTTGGCCCCAGCTCCACCAAGCTCTTGGGACTTTGAATGACAAGGATCTGAAATCAGAACAATTGTAGTATAAGAAATAATGATGCTCTAAGGGCTGGAGACCCTCTGCAGTTGGGGTGTTCAGCTGCACAAGAGAACAAGAGAAGGCTCCAGGGACACCTCAGAGCCCCTGCCAGGGCCTCCAGGGGCTCCAGCAGAGCTGCCCAGGGACTGGGGACAAGGCCTGCAGGGACAGCA